TCAAGTTTCTGAATATATTTACCAACCAACATTCGTCTGGTCTGAATCAGCAGTTAAAGTAGTCATTTCTTCATTTGTTCCTGATGTGCAGTTACAACCTTATAATATTGATACCAAAAGCTTTATTTTCTGGTCTCCTGATAAGAGCTTGAATATTGATCTTCCATCTAGATTAGTTTATGGTAAATCACTATTAGATGACAGGTCAGTGTCATTAAGAACTAAATTTGACAATATTACAAATGCAGGGATATTCCAAGCTCAATATACTAGTGCTCCAGATGGTGTCCTCAACTTTGTAACAAATATCGATCAAGCTGACGTTACTGTTGTGGATGACACCAGAATCATGAAAAATGTGGATGTTACGGCAAGTGTTAAAGATAATGGTACTTTAATTATAATTGCAAGAAAATCTTTGTTAACGAAGGACTTAGCTGATCCACAAACTTTTATTAAAGATTAGAAATTCCAGAATCTACCCTTGAAATGGCCGTTAAGAAACAACTGAAGATAACTTTGATTGACGGTGATTTATTAACTGGCAAAGGTAATGCAAGTGGTGATGAGATTTCATTTACCACCCAATCAATTGTTTGGAGAGAAACATTTGGTTATGATTTAAGAAAGAGTGTCAGAATCATTTGGGATGCCGCTGGTCCCGAAAAAGAATTACCGGCATCATTTGTTGAAGAAACCATTTTGGAATCATCAAGTATTAGTGTCAAAGAAATTTCATTAGAAACGTTTAAAGATATAAAGGTCGATCCTGAAGATAAAAGTGAACGTTTGCCTATTTTCATTACTGAAACATCATTTGCACCTAATCCAAGTGTTATCGAGGAGGTTCCTGATGTTGAAATTGATACTGAATCAGAGATCGCTAAAATGTTGACATTTAAGGAAGCTTATGGAACTGAAACCTCATTAAGACCAGATTTACCAGTAAAGAACTATGTTGTGAAGGTTAAGGAAAACAGACGCTTAACACCTACAGATTATGATAGGAATATTTTCCATATTGAATTTGACATTTCTGGTACTGGTATGAAATATGACATTGGTGAAGCATTGGGGATTCACGCAAGAAATAATGAAGCTCAAGTTAAGGAGTTCCTAAAGTACTATGGTTTAAATGAAAATGATATTATTGTAGTTCCAAACAAAGATAATGAAGCCATTCTTGAGTCAAGAACTGTATTGCAGACTTTTGTGGAAAATTTAGACCTTTTCGGTAAGCCACCAAAGAGGTTCTATGAGGGTTTGATTAATTTTGCAGAGAATGAGGAAGAAAAGAAACGATTGGAAGATTTGATATCGGCAGCCGGTGCTGTTGATTTAAAGAGATATCAAGAAATTGAATTTTACACTTACGCTGATATATTTGAACTATACCCATCTGTCAGACCTAATGTAGCCAATCTGGTCAGATTGATTGCTCCATTAAAAAGAAGGGAATATTCTATTGCTTCTTCTCAAAAGGTTCATCCTAATGAAGTACATTTGTTGATTGTTGTAGTTGATTGGATTGATAATAAAGGAAGAAAAAGATATGGTCAGGCCTCTAAATTTATCTCAGATTTAGTCATAGGATCGGAATTGGTAGTCAGTGTCAAACCTTCTGTGATGAAGTTACCAGCTTCTCCAAAACAACCATTAATTATGAGTGGTTTGGGTACTGGTTTGGCTCCTTTCAAAGCATTCGTTGAAGAAAAATTATGGCAAAAAGAACAAGGTGAAGAAATCGGTGATATATATTTATATATGGGCTCTAGGCATAGAAGAGAGGAGTACTTGTATGGTGAATTATGGGAAGCTTATAAAGACAGTGGCATCATTACCCATATAGGTGCAGCTTTCTCTAGAGATCAACCGGAAAAAATTTATATTCAAGATAGGATCAGGCAAAATCTTGATGACTTAAAGGTTGCTATGATTGATCAAGGTGGTTCTTTCTACTTGTGTGGTCCTACCTGGCCAGTTCCGGATATAACCCAAGCTTTGAAGGATATTTTAGAAGCAGATGCAAAAGAAAGGGGTGTTAAGATTGACCTAGATTCTGCGATTGAAGAATTGAAAGAAAGCGCAAGGTACATTTTAGAAGTTTATTAGTTAGTTTTGTTAGTTGTAAATTTTATAAATTTTAGATCTATTAATATAAACAATTTTAAACATTTTATTTGAAGTTACCTGGTAGATACCTTGATATTTTGTTTAATAGGTAGTTTTTTGAACGGCATCTATTTTCTGACGCGCAAGTTTCCGTCATAAGATCTCCTAATAATTTATACTTTTTTTATTATGATCAATTATACATTTAAGACATTAAATAATTCTAATTAAATAATCTAGTCTTGAGTTTTTTGAGAACCACGTAACAAACCAGTTCTTCTAGCGGCAATCAAACCAGCCTTTTGACCGGCAACAGCACCTCTAGAAATAGTAGAAGCCTTACCAATATGTTGATGGTTACCACCACCGTGAGGGTGATCAACTGGGTTCATGGCAACACCACGAGTCTTTGGCCAAGAGTTTCTCTTAACCTTGTACTTGTGGAAAGCACGACCAGCCTTCAACAATGGCTTGTCAACTCTACCACCACCGGCAACAACACCGATGACACCTCTGGCATCAGAAGAGATGATCTTCTTAGCACCAGATGGTAATCTAACTCTGGTCTTGTTTTCATCTGGGTTGTGACCAATGATGATAACGTAGTTACCAGAAGCTCTAGCGATAGCACCTCTGTCACCTGGTCTTTCTTCGACGTTGGAAACAATGGTACCTTCTGGGACGGAACCTAATGGCAAGACATTACCGACGCTCAAAGTAGCCTTCTTACCGGCGTAAATGAATTGACCAGTGTGGACACCTTCGTTAGCAATGAAGATTTCTTCACGTAACTTGTACTTGTATGGGTCACGGAAGACAACCTTAGCTAATGGAGCACCTCTACCAGCATCGTGGACAATTTGCTTGACAACACCACGAATGTAACCGTGACGTTCAGCGTAATCCAAGGATCTCAACTTGGCAGCACCTTGTCTCAATCTGGTGTGAGAGGTGAAGATAGAACCAGCACCCTTTCTTTGGTTACGAATAACTCTACCTATAGATAGTAAATCACAATAAAAATTGGAATTCCACTTGTTAGTAAAATATAATTCAGAATTATCCCATATTTGATACCAGTATATTGAATAGATGGGATACATGGAAGATCAAATGTGTTACGCTACATATTCTCTAAAGTCATAATAATTAATAATATTTTTCAGTCTTTTCCATTTCTATTCCTTAATATTTGCATTATACCTTGCCATAACTGTATACACTTCTTGGGTTCATACTTGCAGCGTTGGATGTCTAATAATCCATTCGTATATCAATCCAATATTTTCCAACTATTCAATACTTTCTTTCCTATCAATTTAATAACGATCCATTATTACTATTACATACCCATTGTTACTCAATTTTCTCTTGTCGATTTTACCAATTAGCAAATATCAAGTTAAACAAGTAGTCAAGGTTTACCTTTATAGCTTAATATACATTTTTACATATAGATGTGACCTTGAATCCAATCAGTTGTTTCTCTCAGCTGTCTTACTCAGTCTTTGCAAGGTATTTAGAACATAGGGTATCCCATTACCTCAGTATCATTGTAATACACACAGAGACAACGGATAGATTCATCAACACTTGGTTCATTCATAATACAATACAATTAATCAGAAAGTTAGAGGCATCCATCATCATCTTACTGAAGAAGAGTTCATTCAATATTATCCAGAGAGTTTATTGAATTCTAACATTATTCACATCCATTGAATCAATTGCAACTTGATGATGGGAGGCGTGCACTGGTAATACAAGCAAGATATCCATTGGCTTCTCTGTAGCTCAACAATAGACAGGACGTTTGCTCATTATCCATGAAAGGGTGGATATTTTAGCAGAGTCCAGCCTGGCCTCTACCTGTTGTGGGCAGAAACTCCTTCTAGACCTCAGAAGGAGATATGGGCTCTTTCCTCCCAATCACTGAAAGGTTCCCACTAGAACGAATGTCTGTTCTCCTTGCAGAAATTCAGAGACGGAAAGACGAAAAAAATAGAGATTCTTGAAAAATGAGACGCAAACAAATTCGATGACGCAACCAAAAAAAGTTTCAACTTCATTTATTTTTTTTTTCAGTTGCAAATTTTCAAAACGATGTATGGGTGTTGTATTTTACAGCAGTCACTTTGATAATTTGAGTTCGTTTGATGTTTTTTTGGATTTTAAAGATATTTCCTAATCAGGTTAGGGGAATCCATTCCGCTTGAAAAATGGTTCCTCATTGAGATGTGGGCAGCCCATATCCGATGAGATGCCGTATGGCAATTTGAATATGTTGGAATAGGTTTATATCGAATAAAATTTTGATAATACGTCATTAAATCACGGTTGATCTATGTTTCGACTTGTCTTCATAATGATATATTTAGCTGGCCAGACAGTGAATACGTATATAGTTTTAATTTTATTCCCAGGTCTACACAAGAATAGAATGAAAGAGTTGATCCAATATGAGTTGGATGGCAAGACGACAGTTAATGTAGTGAGATAAAAGAAAAACAAAATTTGGATAAGATGGCACTGACCATATTCAAAATATATTGTTTGAAACTTGATACGATTGTATTTCTATGGTGGGATATGGAATCCTGTTTCTCTGGATTTTTATTTACCTCTTGCCTGTCAATTTGTGCAGGTTTCTTCTGGCTGAGTTAAGTTTTTTTCTCTTTGTAATTAACTTATATGAGTATCACGTGATTCCTTTGATAATTTACAGTAGTTTAAGAGATCAAATATTTAAGATAACCGATAGTAGAAACTAAGCAACTAATCGATGATAACAGAGAAATAAAAGAGTGTGTAGGGACTCCTCTGATTTTGAGATATTCTCATTTGTGAGGTAGATATTAAGAGAGAAGTTCCTTTATGTTAAGTTGAGAATGAGAAGTCATGGGCTCATTCCAACTGATAATTTATCTGTAACATCAGAAAATAATGCTAAAAGACGATATGATAATCAAAAGGTTTCAGAGATTCAAAGTGACAGGTACAAGAAATATAGGAAAGATAATAAAATAGTAGATGATATTCAACATATGAGTTCAAAAGATTTTATTCCTGATATCGGATCAAAACCAATAGATGAAAATATCAAAAAGAAGCAACTTAAAATATCAGGTAAAATCAAATTAGTACAGTCTTTGGAAAAAGATCAGTTACCTGATTTATATCCCACGAAATGTCTTCTAACTTTTATTAATGATAGCCATGGTCCGAGATGTGATTTCACATACAAGAGCTATCCGATAAGAGGACTACAAACTGATATTCTGAAGGAATGCAAATATATCTGTTTTGAAGATACTAATTCAACTATTGGATTTGTGTTCAATAAAGATAAAATTATCACTAAAAAAACAGGGGAAGAATTGAAATTGGACATTCTTATTTGGCATTGTAAATTAGGGTATGAACAACAAATGTCAAAGTTAAGAAGTTTATGTAGAACTTTACATCATGTTTCAAAATATATTAGAATTTATACTAATAAAAATGAACTCATCTCACAAATTCCAATGTTAAATACATCTAAAAATACAAATTTTTGGGATAAAAACATGAAATCATTAACCAATAGCATCAGGCCATCAAGGTCATTATCAAATTCCACAAAATCTTTATCATTGGCGCATAAAATACATATCATAACTAATGATTCAGAGGAAGTTTCACCTATGCCATCTCCGAAAAAGGCACAAAACTCTTCAAGTTTGGTTCTTATCGATACTGATGAACCTAGAAGAACAAGATCATCTACACTAGGTAAAGTGTCAAAAGAAGTGGTGGAAGATTTAGATGATGTCGTTCCATTTAAACCAAGTCTATACTATCAATTCAATGATGGGGTCAGCTATACAATTACAAATCAAGATTTTAAATCATTATATAATAATGATTGGGTGAATGATACAATCATAGATTTTTTCATAAAATATAATCTAGAATTAAATGTTGCCAAAAATGATAGAGAAGATATATTCATTATGTCTTCATTTTTTTATACGAAATTGAAGAGCAATAATACAAATTTTTATGATAATGTGAAAAAATGGGTTGCAAATTCTAAATTATTTTCAAAAAAGTTTGTTATTATTCCAATCAATAGTAATTATCATTGGTATGCATGCATCATAACAAATTTGATAGAATATTATGAATTTGTGAAGTCAGACAAAGTAAATCTTGACTCTATCCCAAATATTAAGATTTTAATATTTGACTCTTTAAGACAATATCATAATAAAGATATAAGCATCATCAAGGACTTTTTGATATCTTACGCAATGGATAAGTATTCAATTTCTATTGATAAATCGCAGATTAAAATGAAAACTTGTCAGGTACCTCTTCAGCCGAACATGAATGATTGTGGTGTCCATGTTATTCTAAATATAAAAAAATTTTTAGAAGACCCATCTGGAACAATACAACTTTGGAACTCGTTAAAACCAAAATGTAGAGCTTCTTCATTAACCGTTAATGAGTTTTTTGAAAAAAATGGGAGAAACACTGCCCGATTTAATCTAAGAGCAATATTGTTAGATCTTCAGAAGGCACAAGTAAAAAATATAGATATGTCGCTAATGAAGCATTATGAGGATGACGATGACGATCTACTTATTATAGAAAATGTTTCTGATATTAAAGACGCTAAAGTGGAGTCTAATAATAAGACAAATAGTGATAAAGAATCGGATAAAGAGCCGGATATTGGCACTAATAAAAATAATGATGATGAAAAGAATAAATCGGATAAACAAGAAAACTCTTCTAGAAGAATTGAATCCTCTTTTAATACCAATAGTAGCATGACAAGTGAAAATATGAATAACAATTTGACAACAACAATAAGAGGGCATCTTGATGACATTCCTAACGAAAATAAGAGTACCGATATAAATAATGAGACAAAGGCAAAACTTCAGAAAAAGGAAGATACTTCAAAAGCTGAAAACGAATCAACTACTGTTGGTAATGATGAAGATACTCATGGAAATTCCTCCGTCGATAATGAAAGTTCTCATAATATGACTTCAATATCTTCCGAGTCATCTTCAAATAATATTGCATATGATAAATACGAAACAGTTGAAAGTCGTAGCTTATCAAGTCCCACAGTACGTGAGGATAAAATATCAGTTTCTAACAATCAAGAAGCCGATGACAATCGTGAAGACTCGTTCTCTCAAGTAGATACTTCACAAATAATAGATTCAGATGTAAATTTACTTGGAACCTGAATAATGAAATACTAAATTCATCAATCACATTGCATTTATAGAAGTGGCCTCATTTAAATATTCCAGCATGTCTATCTCTATATATTTCTTATAAAACTTAGGTAGTGATTTGATAAACGTAAATACAAAGAAGAATGTAAAATATCTAATTCCTAATTCATTAAAGTCGTTGATTGCAAAAGCAGAACTGATCAAGAATTCAAGGTTAAAGCCTAGCGCATTGCGCCGATACTGGAAGAAACTCAATAAATGTTTGAGCTACAAGGGAAAATTTTATTAATATTATTATGCATTAATTTTAAATCTATAATACTTATTCGTTATCGGAAAAGTTTTCTAATGCTCTACCTCTTGCGTAAACCTCATCCTTTACTTCCTGGACAGCAACACCAAATAATTTCATAAGCAATGAAACTAAATGCCAGCCTCCAACTAGGCATAAATATGATACGCTAGATAGATAGAATAGATGTTGTGGTATTGTCCAAGTAATTCCATTACCAATTAGCAATCTATCGAATAGTAAAAATCTCATTGCAACCTTAAAAGATGCATATTGATGGGAGTTTGTCGAATATTCGAAAATAGAGAAAAGAACCCACATTAAGATCACAGGGATTGAGGTTTCGAAAGTAAATTTCATTGCTTTCTTTATGTTCTTATAAAGTTCTTTTAAAATATCTTCTGTACTCCTATTGATATAAATTAATACAGGGAATATGCTGATAATGAAAAAGATAGAAAACATGCCACTTGATGCAATGATTGAGTAAACTGAAATCCCAGCAAGTTTTGAATCAACCGTTGAGTAGTCAGAAAATTTAGGTAACATTGCTGAAATACCCACAACTAGTAAATTCAATTTCTTAAAATCTAAGTACCCAATCAAGAAAGAACATAGTTGACCAACAATTACAAATAAATTTAATAATCTTATTAGCGTTATCAATGCTGCGTAGCCAACTAATAGGAAGAATTTGAAGAAGAAATTTTGTACAATATCATTAGCGAGAGCTCTAAAATCTACCATGTTTTGGTTTAGTTCTTGTTCCACTTCAATTACTTCTTCATTTTGATTTTCTTCTTCGACAACGGGGACGATATGTTCACGTAATCTTCTTGTTTGTAGGTCGTATTTATAATATGCTTCAACAAAAATGGATAAAATCATTCCTCCGAAACAGACCAAATATATGTTTAGACTGCGGAACCCGGTAAACACAAATTGTTTCAATTTTTCAAACGTTATGCTTTCCTGTCCAAATATTAGTATAGATAATGGTAAAGCTGTTGCACCTAATAGGGTATTAAATGAAAATTGGCAAACAAGAGCAGATGCGATAAATAAAATAGAGGCAAATAGCCATACAAGGGCAATCAACAAAGTATATCTCATCCTAAAATTAGGAGGCGTGTACACGACTATGTAGCCATCGAATTCAGTACTTTGTTCATCTAAATATCCAAACTCACCTGCATTTCTTTTGTTTCTTTCCTTTATACGCTCAACATCTAACGGTTTCAATAATTTATCCGATTTAGTAACAGGGACAAAGAGAGTTTGTACATAGTTTCGTGAGATAATGTCTGATGAAGGAACACGCATTAAAATACCATCAGGGATAAAATAGGCATGAACTGTACTTTGCTCTTTGAAAAGTGCTTGAGCTTGATCAGAAGTTTTTGGGTCAGAAAATAGATCGGGATTTGACCATTTCGCATTCTTGGATAGGAAAAACTTATAATACCAGTTTCTGTAAATAATATGACCACGTTCAGTAGGGATGTCTTTGCTAACGATAAATGAAGATAGACGCAATTTGGAAGATGAAACTTCAAACACTCTCTCCCAATACTTTCTGATATAAAATTTCACGCCTTGCCTAGATTCAATGAAGTTTTTAGCCACGTAAAATACCACCAGGTAGGAATATAAAGAATGGGATGATAAAGAGAGAGCTGTGTCGGGTATTAATATTTTGAAATTTATCATCGGAAATAAAACTCTGGTATGGAAACCAAACCCAACAATAATAAAAACAGCATAAATGAATATCGAAAGACATAGACGTGATAATTGGATATTCATTGGGTGAATTAAGCTGTCATGCAAAATTTTAATATTTGGATCATCTGGAGATCTAATAAAGAACAAAACACCAGGTCTGATAATATGTTGTCTTATCATGCCAATATATTTGGCAAACCAATACATGTATATTGTACCAATACCCCAATAAATGGCGAAAGCCAATGGGGGGAATTCTGAACATAATTCAAACAAAATAATAAATTGGTTTGAGGAACCAAGTAATGGGCAAAATAATGAGAAATCTAACATGAGACCGGCAAACATAGGGAAGCCCAAAAGCTCGATGAAAAATAGGGTAAACACTTTTAGTGTGCATTTCATTACAAATAGGACTTGGAAAGCAAAACGTCTACTACGGTTTTTCATTGGATTCTCACGACTAAATCCTCTTGAAATCCAACCTGACGATGAGCAAATAATCGATATAGCCGTCAAATATGTCGCTAAGCATGGAGCAGCTCTAATAATAAACTTATTGCGCATTGTATTCTGTGTATAGCCATGACAGTGTCTGATAATAACAGCAATGAAATTGTTGTTGACCCATTCAGTCACAACTGCAAAATACGGAACATACTGTAATGCGAACGAATATACGATATCTAGCTTGCTTAAATGGAATAAGTAAGTAAGAGCACTGAAAATGACCTTGAAAATCCACATATATACCTTTATCAAACCATAACCTATTAATGTAGGAAAGAAATATGAGATTGATAAATATAAACAGACAGAAACGACAGCGATAACAAAGTAAACCAATACACTCAATAGTTTAAATTTTAAGTTCACAACTAATGGACCAGCGATTGGTTGGTCATCAGCAGCTGCACCAATACCAGCGTCCAAAATAATTGGTGGCGGTCTCTGAGCTTGTGGTTGTCTAAAATCCTGTGGTTGTTCAGGAACGTCCTCATTAAGTTGTTCAGGAACGTTTTCATTGAGTTGCTCAGGCACATTTTCGTTATGTTCTACGACAACTTCATTTGCTTGAGGAAGAGGTTGTGGTTCAGGGACAACAGGTTCTTGCCTTACTTCATTCATGGCATTAATATGTTGATCTAGTAAGTTGTTGAATTGATTTTGAGCTCTGCGATTACCTACATATTCATGGAATGGGACATCATGGTCTAATAATAAATCTTGCACTTCATCTTGGTCATGGTCTAATTCTTGACCTTCGATCAAATCTTCGTCAGACGCATCAGACTCAACTTGTTCATCTAGGTGGTCATGAATTAAATCATGATCACTTTCTTCATAATCAGGATCTAATTCAACATCATCGGAAGCATCAGATTGGTCCTCTTGGACTTCATTGTTCATTTCTTCCTCTTCATTTGGTTCTTCTGCAACCGCTGCTGCTGCTGCTGCATTGCCTTGCTCGATCCTTTCCTCTCTCAAATGCATCAAACGCACTACGTGCTCTAATGTTTCATCATCCATCATTGGAAATCTTTCTTTCAATTGCATTTTCAAAAGCTCTTCTCTTGTGAATGCAGAGCCCACTTTATGTAAAATCATTTTATCAAAGACAGCTTCTCGTATAATCATGTCATATTGAAAATATAATGCAATGTGAATCAACACTATTATAATAATCTGGAAAGAAGAGATCACTGAATTCCACTGTAGCTGTAAATACGTGTGAAATGGTGTTGATAATTCGGGTACATCGTTCTGATAACCATATATCATTGATTTAAAAAAATCTCCATGAATAGGTAATTCACCATCTAAAATATATGTATAAAGTTTGCCAAAAAAATTCCAAGTTAACGGCACACCAAATACAAACAATATAAGCGAAACACATAATGTGAATCCTAATCTTGCTTTATTAAATAGTGAAAGTAAACTCTTCTGTAATAGTAAACTTAAAGGTATTGAATCTGGCATGTTTTCCGCATACATAGTTCTAAATTGTATCGGATAATGGCAAATATCACAATTTAAAGAACTTCCTGGCTTAGAAATATTGACATTTTTTGACTCAATCCATTCCATTAGACACGACTCATGGATGTACTTAATAGAACCTTTACACTTACATGGATGAAACAATGGATTCTCATCAGTAGCTTCACCCCTACAAATACGGCATGTCACTCCATGTGGAGCAGAGTTCGTATCAGACATACGAATATCTGTATCTGTATCCATGCTCCTCAACCGAATATAACTGGAATTGAACCCACCTCAATATCTTAAATTTAAAACTAAAATCAATTTTAAGGTCTTAAGCTAAATATAAATGTATATCGAATAAGCTCGCCTTTTGCTCCACAAAAATGTATTCGTATAGAGAATTTGAACTGGATTCAAATCTAGTCAATAATTAAATTCTATTGATCGGATGACTTGTGTTGATAATTAATAGTCAATCCCAAGTCTCCTTAAGATAAACTATTGATTAGTTGATATTGAAACTTTTCATCAAAATTCGATATCAGTTAAATTGTTTCGATGTATCGTGTATTTTTCATTCCAAAAAAAAAAAATCCCGTTGCTATGTGGTCATGTGATACGTACCAATTGAAAACTTACCCTGACTTTTGGACATGCAAAGTAGATGGTGAGACTGACCATTGACGACGCTACCATGTTAAGTGAGAATAGTGTTATATGTGGATATGATGGTGCTATAGAAATAACGATTCAGTTCTGTCTGGAAGGAAGGGGAAGGACGTTTAGTATCTTGGCAATATGTTCGATATTTGTTGTCTTTGGACAGAATGTGTTCTTATTATCTTGTTACAAATTGCTAATATTAAAATAAAAAAAAATGAATTAGCGAAATTATTGTCGCGAATAAGAAAAAGAAAGCCCTGTAGGGGGCTCGAACCCCTAACCTTGTGATTAAGAGTCACACGCGCTACCGATTGCGCCAACAAGGCTTGTATTTGTTGAAAATTTGAGAAAATTAATTTCTTCATGTTCTGTATAACCATCACGTGGAAAAAGTTTTATGTATTATTTGGCCTGTAATTAATTGTATCTTTGATTCGTTTTACGTTAGAATGAAGGCTGTTGGGCGTTTATTCTATAGGATCTTAAGGGTTGAGATCTGTAAGCTAAAGTAAATATACTTGTTAGTAATAATGTAATTGTATATCTTTTTTTGTACAAAGTAAGATACTAAATAATATACAATGATATACAATAATATACAATAATATACAATAGTCTCTTTAAATACCAATGTTAATAGTATGAAAGCAACAACCTTGTAATGACACACATGTCTTTACATGTCTTTACTGTCAATGTTCGTACAAAGTAACCTCGAAGTAATCTCGAAATAATACATTTAGTCTCTCATATTTCATTACTGTCTCATGTATTAAACTTAGTGTAAAATGTTCCTAAAGACCTTAAATAATAATAGGAGCTATCGATATTCTGTAAGACTTTTTGCAAAAATAATTGGGTCCAAAAATATATTCTAACTTCTTTATCTTCCTTTGTCATGGATGATAAAGAATATTTCAAAACAAGTTGCCAATACACAAATCCCTATATTGTATAGATATCCATTTGTAAATAATAGGTGGTCGTTGCCTTGACTTTTTATAGATTTATTATGCGTTTTGTGAAGACAGAGCCGTCTTGTGACAGTCTTAAATTAAAGATACCCGTTTCATTTACATAACACACATCACACACCATAATGTGATGGCCATAAAACGTCAACAAATATTTAAAAAATTAAGGAATTATATATGCTTCACAGTGTTTCCTTTCCAAGGTGTATATCCCTATGATGATGATTAAGAGGTCTGGACAATATTTCGAAATGTCTAAATCTAATTGAGACAGTTCTCACTAAAAAAAACTCATAACAGAGAGTTTCAAACTTTTTAGGTCAACACTAATATATAATTAGAGCAGGAATAAACAACATAACATTCTCCCACACAATTAGTTTGGGCCTTTGTAAACCATCTTTTTTTTTTTTAACATTTTCTACTGGAAATTTCATTTTTGATTGACTTATTGAGGGTTGGTCCTGATCAAACTCACAATGGCAGATAGAAACGATAAAATAAAAAAAAATATTTCATAAATTTCCATTCCTAAACAGTTTAATCTAATATTACAGGTAATTACACACTAAGTACACAACTAATTCAGCACAATTCTTATATTGTTCTAAATTACAGGGTCAACCAATCTCAAAGAATTCATCGATACCTTGAAACCACAGCTACGTGTAAAGGATGAGTGGGGAGAGGAAAGGGTTGAAAACTTCTAAAACCCCATATATATACACACATACATAAATATACTACACTAGCTTTCAGGTCACAGTTGTCAATACTCTTTAACATAACACGAATCCTAAATACGAATTGTTTCTAATTTGTCTACCTTGGTAACTCATCCTTCTTTGGCCTAATATATGAAGCTAATGCAAACATACCGTTTTTGATCTTACTCATCAAGAACACTAGTGTTCCAATTAACACAACTAATGATACAATATTGGCTATTATAAAGAAAACAAAATGTAATGGATTATTTACCATTTCTTATCACTTCTCTATATCTTAATGTATAAACCTCACTTCAGAACTCGGTAGAAAAATTAGGCACTTAAATCACAATTACAATCACAATAAATTTGATTGAGAGTATCAATTACCAGCAACAATGTTTCCTCAAACTCATGAATTTACTTGTATTCAATTACCTTCTGTTGCTAATTGCTGTAAAACTTAAAACTTCGAGCATTTTATTTCTATAAATTTGTCAAACTCTTCGGTACTAACGCCAGTTGACCTAATTAAGTGAAGTGATCAACTATATAACGACAGTTACATAAACTTTACCTCAGGCTAGAAAATTGTAGCAACTCGATGTTATTAAAATTTATTTTAATACACCAGAGTTATTTTTAACAGTGTATTCCTTATTCGACATCAGCTCAAGTTGCTAGTTCCTGAGAGATTCAGATCCCATGAAAGAAGACACTCGGATTTGTCTTGGCTCTTTGACAAGTGTCATTATAAGACTGAATTGACTTACAATGAGTTCTTATAGGGTGTCCAGATTAATTGTGTACTGATGGTCCTTGATCAGTCCAGTTATATCTTCTTTGTTGTGTTTTATGAGCCAACCCATTTGTCTGTTTGTTCTTTGTAAAATCAG